CATGGAAAATTAAAATTTTGGTATTTTACATGAGAGAGAATATTGAGATGGTGTATATTCTCCAAAAGAGAGTAGAAGAGCACATTCTATATTTTTTCTAACAGATTACCTTCAGAGCAATTTTGCGTCTAACATTGGGGTACATAGATAATATTTATATTCTTTTGTAACCACGTAAATTTAGAATTTTTGTATTTTACATGAGAGAAAATATTGAGATGATGGTGTATATACTCCAAAAGAGGGTAGAAAAGGGCATTTTATATTTTTTCTAACAGATTATCTTTCGACAAATTTTGCTTTTAACATTGGGTTACATAAATAATATTTATTTTTTTTTAACCCCGTAAAATTAGAATTTCGGTATTTTACATGTGAGAGAATATTGAGATGGTGTAGATACTCCAATAGAGAGTAAAAAAAACACTGTATATTTTTTCTAATAGAGTCTATTTAGGGCAATTTTGTTTTTAACATTGGGTTACAAAGAGAATATTTATTTATTTTTTCTATTCACGTAAAATTAGAATTTCGGTATTTTACATGAGAGAGAATATTGAGATGGTGTATATACTCCAAAAGAGAGTAGAAAAAGGCATTGTATATTTTTTCTAACAGATTACCTTAAGATCAATTTTGCTTTAAACATTGCGTTATATAGATTATATTTTTTTGGAACCGCTTAAATTTAGAATTTCGGTATTTTACATGAGAGAGATTACAGAGGTGGTGTATTTACTTCAAAATAGAGTAGAAAAGAATACTGTATATTTTTTCTAATACAGTCTATTAAGAGCAGTTTAGTTTTTCACATCGGGGTACAGAGAGAATATTTATATTTTTTTGTAACTGCGTAAAGTTAGAATTTCGGTATTTTACATGAGAGAGAATATTGAGATGGTGTATATACTCCAAAAGAGAGTAGAAAAGAACATTGTATATTTTTCTAACAGATTATTTTCAGATCAATTTTGCTTTTAACATTGCGGTACGTAGATAATATTTATATTTTTTTGTTACTGCGTAAATTTAGAATTTCGGTATTTTACATGAGAGAGAATATTGAGATGGTGTATATACTCCAAAAAAGGATAGAAAAGGGCATTGTATAGTTTTTCTAACAGATTATCTTCAGAGCTATTTTGCTTTTAACATTGGGGTACATAGACAATATTTACATTTTTTTGTAACCACGTAAAATTAGAATTTCAGTATTTTACATGAGAGAGAATATTGAGATGGCGTATATACTCCAAAAGAAAGTAGAAAAGGTCATTGTATATTTTTTCTAATGGATTATCTTCAGAGCAATTTTGCTTTTAACATTGGGGTACATAGATAATATTTATATCTTTTTGTAACCGCGTAAAATTAGAATTTCGGTATTTTACATGAGAGACAATATTGAGATGGTGTATATACTCCAAAAGAGGGTAGAAAAACACATTGTATATTTTTTCTAACAGATTATCTTAATAGCAATTATGCTTTTAGCATTTTGGTACATAGATAATATTTATATTATTTTGTATTCGCGTAAATTTAGAATTTCGGTATTTTACATGAGAGAGAATATTGAGATGGTGTATATACTCCAAGAAAGAGTAGAAAAAAGCATTTTATATTTTTTCTAACAGATTATTTTCAGCGCAATTTGCTTCTAACATTAAAGTACATATATAATATTTATATATTTTTGTAACCGCGTAAATTTAGAATTTTGGTATTTTACATGAGGGAGAATATTGAGATGGTCTATATACTCCAAAAAAAAGTAGAAAAGGGCATTGTATATTTTTTCTAACATATTATCTGCAGAGCAATTTTACTTTCAACATTGGGGTACATAGATAATATTTATATTTTTTGTAAACGCGTAAAGTTAGAATTCCGTTATTTTACATGACAGAGAATATTAAGATGGTTTATATACTTTAAAAGAGAGTAGAAAAGGGCATTGTATATCTTTTCTAACACATTACCTTCAGAGCAATTTTGCTTTTAACATTGGGTAATAGATAATATTTATATTTTTTTGTAACCGTGTAAATTTAGAATTTCAGTATTTTTCATGAGAGAGAATATTGAGATGGTGTATATCCTCTAAAAGAGAGTAGAAAAGAGCATTGTATATTTTTTCTAACGGATTATCTTTAAAGAAATTTTGCTTTTAACATTGGGGTACATAGATAATATTTATATTTTCTTGTAACCGCGTAAAATTAGAATTTCGGTATTTTAAATGAGAGAGAATATTGAGATGGTGTATATACTCAAAAAGAGAGTAGAAAAGCACATTGTATATTTTTTCTATCAGATTATCTTCAGAGCGATTTTTCTTCTAACATTGGGGTACATAGATAATATTTATATTTTTTGGTAATGGCGTAAAGTTAGAATTTCGGTATTTTACATGAGAGAGAATATTGAGATGGTGTATATACTCTAAAAGAGAGTAGAAAGGGGCATTGTATATTTTTTTTAACAGATTATCTTCAGAGCAATTTTGCTTCTAACATTGGGGTACATAGATCGTATTTATATTTTGTTGTTACCGCGTAAAGTTAGAATTTTGGTTTTTACATGAGAGAGAATATTGAGATGGTGTATATACTCCAAAAGAGAGTAGAAAAGAGCATTGTATATTTTTTCCAACAGATTGTCTTCAGAGCAATTTTGGCCAAATATAGCTTTGGCCTTGTCTCATCTGGGAGAACAGATGGGCAGGAATTCACTACAACTCCCAAATCAGCCAAGCGGCAGACTGCCTTCTTTCCTTCTCTGGGTCAGCCAAGGCTACAGTTTCCACCTGGACACAGCCAGCTGCAGAGGCCCAAGACTGAAAACCATGACAGCTCAGGGAGGAGCACCTAGGAATGTACCATCTCTCACCTGACTGAGGGCCCATCAGGAGAACAAGCAGGGACAGGTGTTTCTCCCAGCAGTGAGGGGGCATCTGTATTGAGCTGTCCAGCAGGGGCAAGATTAGATTTCTCTGTGCAAAGCAAACAGCTCCTCTTAGCAGTCACATCTCAGTCCTGACTCCTTTTTAGCATAGGGCTGTAACTACTGAGAAAACTAGTTTGTTTGAAAAAGGCCTGGGGCAGTGTTCTTTCTCATGCCCTTACCTACCATAGGAAAAATGGCCATGTGGCCAGAGGCATAAGGGGCGCCCATGATCTACTCTGAAATACATGTAATGCAAGCAGAGGCAACTCCTCCAAACATCGGAAGAGGGGAAGGTCCTCATGGAAAGGAAACAGAAACAAAGCAAACTTGAGTAGACAGGAATGTGTGTTTAGCTTTAGACACAGGACAGAAAATGCAGTATTGCTGCAGTTCTGGTGAGAGCATGTGGTATAGGAGGAAGCCAGGCGAACATAGTGGGGTTCGCTTGGGAGGAAATGACCAGGCCCAGATGGAAAGAAGAGGTCCCTCTATCACCTTCCAATGCTTCATTAATTAGTAAGTGTGGAGCAGAAACTGGGTGATAAAAATCACTTCCATGTTTCTTTGAGAAGATGGGAAAGGGACTGGAAGGAGAGGATGGCTAGGGGGCGGGAGGGCTAGCTGTGTCGCCCCCACCCTCCTCAGAGGCCTTGCCCTGAAAGAGCCACTTCTGATGATTCCACAACATCCCTTTTCCACAAAGCCTCTGGCACCTCAGAGCCACCTGCAGTTGGACAATGAGGCTCTTCAGACAATTATTAAGAACTTCTAACTCTGGCTCCCTCAGCCCACGCCTTCTGTAATCTTGAGACCCTACACTTACCAAATCTAAACTCTGGCAGCCTCAAGATCTGCTCGTGGCCTTGGGTAGGCTGGTCAGAATGTGGCAGCAGGGTCTGGCCCCCCCACCCCCTGCCTTTCCCTTTCCTCATTCAGCAGCCTAGCTCCTTGCCCTCAGGAGGGCACAATCAGGGCTGAGACCCTTCATGAGCCCCCCTTGGTCTTCTGGTATGACGAGTCAGCAGGGACACATTCCCCATCTCTGCCAGGACCATCTGCACTCAATTATAAGCGCTTTGGAAGCCAGCAGAGGGCTGTTTAGCTGTTGTTGGTTCTCTATGATTAGCCTGTTCTTATTCTTTGAACATTGCACATGGTGCACCCAGCTGTGAGAAGCGTCCATGATTCAAAGTGTTTTCTTCCTCAAAGAGTAGTGCTAAGCTAGTTGTTTTTACTATGGGGAAAGAAAATAAACATTTAAAAGTGTTACTTTCTGGATAAGTTCCTTTCTCTACCTTTTAATTCCACTATTCCCAGATTTGGGACCACTCCTTTGCCTATATTCCACAGTCCCTATATAGACTCTTGCTTGCTATAAATGAGCCTTGTTAACATCAAGATAGTGTGTAATTCCAGCTTACGCATCCGCATTTCAGTAGCCTGTCCTCTCCCATATTGTGTATGTGAGAGAGACCAGATGGTAAGGCATCCTTTTAATAAAACCCTTCCAGAGACTCCACTCTTTGCATAAGGAGCCAGGGTGAACTGCAGAGACTTACCTTCTTTCCAGGTGCTGAAGGCAGAAACAAAGCAACACTATTTTGTTCACACTTGAAATCCTCCACGTTCTCTGCAGGCAAGAAGCAGTTGGCTGGGTTTGGCTCTACGCCAGCATGAAAATCACTAGTGGTGCTTAATGAAATGGTTATTTCTGGGGCTACATCATGGATTTGAAATCCAGGCTCACATGTGAGTGGAGAGCCAGAGAAGCTAGAGATTTGGTAGCCTTGTTAATGGTGATAATGAAAACCACGAGATGAACTACAATTCACAGGCAAAAGAATATGGAAGTAGAGAAAGATGCAGGTAGAGAAAGATGGTGGCTCACGCCTGTAACCCCAGCACTTCGGGAGGCCAAGGCGGGCAGATCACTTGAGGTCAAGAGTTTGAGACCAGCCTGGCCAACATGGTGTGAGCACTGCTCAGTACCAAGCTTGGATTTTCTAATCTTTTCAGGCAGATTCGTGGGAAGAAAAACACCAGCCGAGGTATATAGAGAAAAAGAGTTTATTTACAAAGAAAGAAAAAGAATTTATTTACAAGGATACCTAGAGACGCTCACAAACTTCAACACCGGCAATAAAGCAGCACAGGTTTTCGCAAGTCCAAACCAAATCACCATCGAAGCTCAGTTCGGCTTCTGCTAAACAATCTTTTATACTTTTTAAAACAAAAAAGGGTCAAGTCAGGACACTGTCCATGTCTTCATCATGTAACTAACATCCTTGAGGTGTTTACCAAAAATTGGATCAGGGAACTGGCCAGGTTCCCAGGTCCGGCTCTTCAGAGCCTTTTTTTGCATTGGGAAAATTCTGAGCTCGGAATACTCCCAATGATAAGGAAATGAAGACAACATAAAGTCTGTCCATGACTTGTAAACTTAATTAACTCCTTCTGTTCCATTACACATGGCAAAAACCCATCTCTATTAAAAATAAAAAAAATTAGCCAGGAAGGGTGGCACGCGCCTGTAGTCCCAGCTACTTGGGAGGCTGAGGCACGAGAATTGCTTGAACTCGGGAGGCACAGAGAGCACTGAGCCGAGTTTGTGCCATTGCACTCTAACCTGGGCAAGAGTGAGACTGCATCTCAAAAAAAAAAAAAAAAAAAAAGAAAAAGGTAATCACACTCCCTTCACTTCACATTTCCCAACTAGGCAAATACTCATTTCTTTTCTCATAATATACAGGATCTATGGTCTAAGCAGCAGCACCATTATGCCAGTAAACATAGGGCATGCCTATAGATATAAAGTTCTTTGTAGCATGAGTTCGGTTGACTTTTATCCATCAACTAAATTTTCTGAAATTTAGAAAACCATCTAAATATGGAATAAACGGTTTTACTTACCATGCTGAAGAAAAAGACAGAAGTCAAAATGTCTAAATATTTAGCAGAAATACTACCTCAAAAGTGATTTTACTTTTTTTTGGATAAGCGACTTTAAGTGTGCCCAAAGATAAAAAAAAAATGTGTGCCAATCACGGGTTATTACACGGAGGATAAAGGGAGCCACTGTCTGAGAAAGGACTTATCAAAATGGAAAGAAAGCAAATGAGAAGCAACCCTGTGTTGTTGGACTAGAACTGGAGGTTCTGGTGTGAATTCATGGTTTTCAGTATATGGATATGAAAGTAAATTTGGTTATTAATGTGAAGCAAATTTAGACAATGTGTGTACATATGTGTGTGTATACATGTACACAATTCCCTAGCTCTGACCACGGAGCCTGGGATGAGTGGCACCATGACAGAAGGCATTCCCATCTAACCTTTTAAAATCACGTCCTACTAAAAGCAAGCAGGGCTGCAGGAGAGAAACTTGGAATGTCTTATTGTCAAAAAATACAGCAGTGACCAAGTAGCCGGGGGACATGTCAAAAGTACACAGGGGCTAACTTGAAGGTGCTCCCACTGGCCATATTTGAGGCCAGTTAAGCATCTAAAGAAATAATGATGGAACGAACTGTAACCCACCGAATCAAAGAAGAAACTACAAGTCCACACTAGGATGGGTTGAATGTCTCTTCTCTGAAATGCTTGGGACCAGGGATATTTCAGATTTTTTTGGAGTTTGGAATATCTGCATTATCCTTATTGGTGGGGCACTCCTAATCAGAAACAATACCCTTAACTGTTTACAGGAAATATATACTCAAGTATTTAAAGGTGATAGGCCCATTGGGTGGGGGCAACTTACTCTCAAATGGTTCAGGTTCTGTACTTGTGATTTTTTCTGTTTGGGAATGTTTCAAAATAAAAATGTTTTTAAAAGTGTAATTTCCTTTTTATTTGTATCTGTTATGACTCAAAAAGTGACTAGTTATTATAAAGACACTACTGTTAAAGATGGATATTTTAAGATGGAGTTTCAAGAAAGTTACTTCTTGAAACAGAGCAGATATTTTTATATAATGTGATATTAAGCATATATTTGAACAAAACTAAAAACATTAATTATTACGAGTATATAAAAAGATCAGTGAATCAATGTACTCTTCTAGGCTGAATTTAGACTATTTAAGGTTTTAAAAAGTTTGATTGGGGGAAAATAAGTTTTACAAAACCCATGCCATCCAAAATTAAGATGACATGTAACAGTAAGAAGTATTCCAATGTCTCATAACCAGTTTTCACAAGCAACAATGAGTATGCCTTACTTTAAAAAAGTGTCAAACAAATAGAAAAATCGGAACTAATTTACTAAATGTATCAATTAGAGGTATCTGTAATAAAAGAATCCATGTGTCAAATATTCAAAGTGAAAGTTTTCTTGTTCCAACTTCCCAGAGTCCTTGTCTCAAATATTCAAAGTGAAAGTTTTCTTGTTCCAACTTCCCAGAGTCCTTGTCTCAAATATTCAAAGTGAAAGTTTTCTTGTTCCAACTTCCCAGAGTCTTTCTAGCCCCCTCTCGTCCTCTCAAATATGTGATTTACCAAAATATGGTTTAAATGTAACTTTTCAGGGACACATGACCTGAAAAGAAAGAAATGTCAGATAATACTGACATTGCCTCATGCTCTTTCTTTGCATCAATGCTTCTCCTGCAAGTAATCAGAACTGAGACCAAGTGGCACAGAAGGAAGGATTATGTAACATGCCAAATGCCGTTTCCTGTTCAACAAAAATCTCATTTTTCTCCAGTAATAAAGAGGTGGACATTCTTCTTGGACTGTAGCATCTGTGCCGCCCGCTCCACACCAACCACAGCTGCTAACTTCTGGGCATCATACTTGGAGTAGAGAACAGTGCAGGTCCACGTGGCTTCCTCTCCTCTGTTGGTGGCTCTCAGCATATTACAGATTTCACTGTAGAAGTGTGGATATGTCGGCAGTTCATAGAAAATAAGGTTCCTGATGCCTTTGATTGTATACCTGTTAGAATTGGAAAGAGAGAGGCTATGTCAACTTGAGAAACAAGTTCTAAAAAAACTGCCTAGTACAGAGGCATAGTTCATGCTTGTTGCTTCCTGCTAGTGGAGAAAAACAATGGCACAAATAACAGAACCAAAGTTATTGCAATCTGAGGTGGCAGTACTTATTTTGTGGCAGCATATTCAAATTCCTAATATTTGGCTTAAAATAATGATAAAATAAATACACATTTCTTGATACTACTCAGGGTTGGCTGAGATATCATGGGAAAGAATAGTAGACTGGGATTTAAAAATCCATCACAGAAAACTTAAAAAGCAGGCACTTAAAATGAACATTAGCCTTATTATAATCAGGCAAAAAAGAATGTTCTATAATGGAGATCAGGTCAGCCCCAGTACATAAAACAAACTGCACAAATTGTAAATACACTCCCATTAGTCTTTTCTTGCCACTCTGGAGACATGTTAACTTTATGGCAGACGTCCCAAGTTCATTTATTTACAAAATCCTGCCTGAGGACCTGCTAGGCATCATGAGAAAGCAATTAGTTTCAACAGCTTATGCATTTCCACCTCTTTCTCAGCTGCACAGAGCTGCCCTGTGGTGGGGAGGCGGTGTAGACCCAGGGGACTAACTCACGGTATGGTTAAGTCAGGTTGAGGTCACCCGTTCCCTGTGGGATTCCGTAACAAAAGATTTTATATGTTGACAAGGTTCTGACTTTTCCTGTTGGTTTCTCTCAAACAGTGAAGATGTTAGACTTCCTTGGGGATTTTCTTTCTTTCACAGAAGATAAGTTTTCCTTGCCTTTTTCCCTCACGGCTCATCCTGATCTCTCTGGAGACCCTCCTTTTCCAAACTGACTGTGATCTATTATGTGGTTCACCTTTCAACACCATCTTTCCATAAAGAAGGAATTCTAATGGCTAATGAACAAGCTGTTATACCTCACTAGTTCTCAGAACAAACAAAAACAGCACTGAGTTCCACTTCTGTTTAGAATGTATAAAACTCAAGAGAATATTGCTCCTGTACTAATAAGAAAAAGTCAGATCATCTATTATACAAAAATGTTCCTTTTTTTGAGCCCAGAGAACTACCATCATGAGGCAATCAGGTAAACTGAATTAGGTGGTGAGCTGGTGTATGTTTAATAATTGGTCCTCAGTGGGAGAAAGGGAGGGTGCTAATTTGAAGGATTTATCAGTTTCAAGCTACCAATGTCACGCTGCTGACACAGAGATGTGCAACCAGGTCTCAGGAGCCAGTGTGAGCCAGCTTCAGCCCACCATGGACTGAGTTGCAAAGAACAGCACTTGTGAGGAAGCACAGGACACATGAACTCCTGTACTTTAGACAGAGCAGAGGAGAAAGATGGCCTCTGCCAAACAAGTGGGTAGTAAGAAAATAGATTCGCTTTTAACAAATTCTTAAAGGTCAAGAATAGGCTTGCCTGATTTTAGAACCCCAGGGATCCCCGGATGCTCCTTTAGTTCATATCCACTCATGAGCTCTGCACTGGGAGCCCTGGAGAAAGACTGGAGGCAAAGCAAAAGACCCGAGGGAGAACCCACTGGTGGTAGGGACATGAAAGCCCACCTATTTCCCAGGCCTATTATTGTGAAACCCATGGCAAAAACCTGAAGCAGATGGGAGAAAGGAACCACCGTGCCCCCACCCCCAATCACAGGCAAAGGCAAACCCCTTGGAGGGGGAGGGTGAATAGAAGCAAAAATTGTCTCACTTAAGGGAAGGGCAGCAAACCCCCACCCTTCCATTTCTCCTCCACACAAGACTTGCACCCAGTAAAAAGCATTCTGCCCCAGGGGAAGGGGTAAGAAACCTGTTCAGCCCAAGTTCCTGCACTGATACAAGCAGAGTTCTGCCACGACTGGGGAAAGAGCTGTATACACTTCACCACAAAGATTCCTCACAGATAAAAGATAGTCTGGCTGACACAGAGGTGGCAGGACAGGAACCCTGAGACAGCCTCACCCCCAAAGCTTGGAAGATAAAGGGCCTGCCAAAAACTGAGCTGGACCAGGAGCACCCCCTCCCCCGGACTTCATGCCTTGCAAGGAGATACAAGCAAGAGGCCTCCTGTGAGGAGAGGTCTGAGTGTGGAGGGAGATGCTTCTCTGGCACACGGGTCGAGGCCTCAGTGACATCTGAGTGATCAGGACACTGAGAAAAACCCTCCAGCTCTGTAAACCCTACACCAAGCCCACTGTCTGCTGGAGCAATTTGAAGTCTGTGGTGTTGGGAGGGTATCTATAGTAACAATCAAATCCTGACCAGATTGACAGCACCCTCACCAGTGGCCTACAGAAAAGGGGGTACACCTGGACATAAGTATTATTCACCTCAGTCTCCACATTCCATTGAAAGTTACAGAAGACACAGAAAAAGCAAGAAAAAGACATCCAAACAATGAGATACCATTATGATGATCACATCAGTAGCAATAATTCAGTCCATGGGGTTTTGCAGAAATAGGTCAATGGAGCATAAATTACTTTGTCTATAAATTTGGGAGAAGATACGGAAAAGATGAGAAGGAGCAAATAAGTAGCAACGCATAACACATTTTTTATTGTGTACACTCTGTGCTAACAAGTTTTCCTTTCAAAATCTATCCTGACAAAATAAGTAGGTATTTCATCAAAATATATGCATATGGATGTTTTGGGCATTACTATACACAACAGCAGAAAACAGAAAAAAAAAAAAAAACCCTATATGCCCACTAAAAGGAAGCTAGCTTAATTAAACAATGTAATAGTATGTAGGCATTAAGAACAAGGTGATGTTTACCTCACACATTGCTTATTAATTACATACACATATTGACTCAGTGATTTTAGATTTAGCATCACCAAGAATGAGACAAAGTGACATTACGTGCCTCTTCATGAGGTAGAAAGTACATAATATTCCCTAAGTAGAATTCTTATCAAAAGATGTTTATTCTAAATCAGTCATCCCCAAGCTGCTGTACACTGAAGTCACTTGGCCAATTGTTAGTGTTTTTAATACTTATGTCTGGCCCCCATACCCACACATTGCGATTTAATTGGTACTGGCATGTGACCTGGGCATTTGGACTTTTAAAAGCTTCTATTCTAATGTATAGCAAAGTTTGGAAACCACAGATCTAAATAATAGGGGAACAATTAGATAAATCCAGACTGTGAGACATTCTACAGGAAACCAGATCGGACGCTTCAAAAAAACAGTCAACGTCATGAAAAAGCAAAAAAGCCAGAGAGTGATGAGGGTTTCTCAGTGTTAACACTGCTGACATTCTGAGACAGATAATTCTTTGTTGCTGGGGGCTGCCCTGTGCATGAGGGTTTAGCAGCATTACTGGCCTCAACCCACTACAGTCACCAGAAGAATCCTCCAGTTGTGATAACCAAAACAAAAATGTCTCCAGACAGTGCCAAATGTCCCCGAGGAAGCAATATTGTCCCCCAATTGAGGACTAAACTAGATTAAAGAAACAAAAGCAGTTAAGTTAACCAAATGCTATATATGATCCTTACGGAATCCTTTTTGGCTGGAGGGGAAAGAACTATCATGGTCATTTTGGTGACAACCAGGAAAATCTGAATATAGACTAAATATCAGATGATATTATTGTAGTAACATCAAGTAGTATGATAACGGTGTTATGGTTGGATAAAGAATGTTTTTGTTTTTAGGAGCTACATGCTAAAATATTTAGGGGTAAAGTGTCAATGAAGACCCCCGCTACTTTACTTTCAAATGGTTCAGGAAGAAAAACTAAGAGATATGAGTGGGAATAGAGAGAAGATGGGTATGTGCCAATGTGATAAAATGTGAACAGCTGGCGGAATTTGGGGTAAAAGCATTTATAAATAAACAGATGTTTATTGTTAGTCTCTAGCAATTTTCTTTCAAAATGAAATCTTTTCAGATAAAAACCTGGATGAAGAGAGGATATGATAGAGCTATAAACAGTAACTTAAAAATACATCCACAATATACAAATACATAGGCCAAAATGTTAACGTCTTTGAATATTTTTTCAGTGAGCACATAAAACATCTAAGACAAAGGAAAAAATTCCTTAAAAGAAAAAGAGATTCCAATTTTAGTTTAGTTTTTTTTTTCTCAGAGTGAGTCTTGCTCTGTTGCCCAGGCTGGAGTGCAGTGGCGTAATCTCGGCTCACTGCAACCTCCGTCTCCTGGGTTCAAGCTATTCTCCTATCTCAGCCTCCCGAGTAGGTGGGATTACAGGCGCCCACCACCAGGCCCAGCTAATATTTGTAATTTTGTAGAGACGGGATTTCACCATGTTGGTCAGCCTGGTCTCGAACTCCTGACCTCGTGATCTGCCTGCCTCGGCCTCCCAAAGTGCTGGGATTACAGGCATGAGACATCGCATCCAGCCAGTATTTTTTTTTAAAAAAACACCTGTGTGTGTGCATGTGTGTACACGCGCACACACATTTTTCATATAAAAAAGAAAAAATATACCAAAAAGAGTATTTGTATCAGGGCAGTGAGATTTTTAACCCAAAATTTCCGAGTTCTCTACAGTAACTGTATAATACCCTCATAATCAGGAAAAACAAAATAAAACAAAGCCATTAAGTGTTATATTACACACACACACACACACACACACACACACACACACCTATCTCAGTCCCAATGCACCCACAATAGAGACTAAGTATCTCCTGGCAACAGAAAACATGGCCAGAACCTCTTCCAAGGGGCAGTTAGTGCCAAGTTTCCATAGCTTGGGCACCCCTTCCCCTGCCTTCCTCCTCCCTGGCATATGCTTTGTCTTCAGTGACCCCCTAGAAACACAGCCTAACCATCCTGACAGGACCTTCCAGATGTCTATTTCACCAGCCAACTGTTAAAGACAAATGAGGCAACCACAATGAACTTGAAGAGCTAGCTCCTTCCGCTGGTCCATAAAGACCAAGTCTACTACTTCTAGAAGTTGGATTCTCATGTAGGGGAAGGGAGTACTCAGAAACTCCCCAGCAGCCATTCCAAACTCCACAAACCCCACCTCCAGTTTCTGACTTGCCTTCTGGCTGAGATCCTCCCTGCTGCGGTGACCCACTGAAAACACACTGGAAAAGAGCCGTGACCCATTGCTGGGAGGGTAATCATGACCAAATGTTCACCCAATTCTAAGATTCTGCTAGTTTAATCTTCCCCAAATAAAACAAATCTTCAGGTTAAAAAATTTTTGCTAACTCAAAAATGAATTCTAATCTTCCTAAAACGCCAGCTGTCATAGAGAATATAAAAACAGAGTCAGATACTACAGTTTAAAATATATACATTTTCCAGCTGGGTGCCGTGGCTCATGCCTGTAATCCCAGGCATGGGAGGCTTGGGAGGCTGAGGTGGGCAGATTACACGAGGCCAGGAATTCAAGACCACCCTGGCCAACATGGTGGAACCATGTCTCTACTAAAAATAATTAGCCAGGCGTGGTGATGCACATCTGTAATCCCAGCTACTCTGGAGGCTGAGGCATGAGAATTGCTTGGACCTGGGAGGTGGAGGCTGCAGTGAGCCAAGATTGTACCACTGCACTCTAGCCTGAGCAATACAGTGAGACTGTCTCAAACAAAACAAAACAAAACAAAAAAACCACAAACCAAAAAAACATGTACTTTTTCCAAGGTCAAATTAAAAAAAAAAAAACAAATCATAAAGGCATTGCACACCAAACACCCATCATCACCTTGGTGATCTCCCAAGCAAAAAATTCTATAGTTGGAAACCTTGAGATAATTAGCTGTTGCAGAACTCTAAAGCACATTATTTTCATTCATATTCTGTAAAAGAAACACCAATTAACCTAGCCCAGGGCATAAAGCAAATGGCATATGCTGAGATTTGTCCTTACTGTGACTTTGAGGGCAACATGGTTTGGTAAATAGACAGTGTAATACAGGGGACTGTCCTGCTTACAAAGGGCTCCATGCCCTGTCCTTGAAAAGCTGCTGAAATATTTAAGAGCAGTCCTCATCCCAGCTTAATTCACACTTACTATAGACAATCACACTGGGAAGTTTTCCAATCCATCCACTTCACTTAAAGGGCTTGCTTTCATTTGTCAAGAGGATAGAAAGCTAAGAGCTTTTAAAACCTGATGAGTGCAACTCCCCCAAATACTTTCCAACATGAATTGAACAACAACTTACTGCAACAGAGCAAATAATGATGCCAACAAGCAGGCATTCATTAACACTCTTTGGCCAAACAGCCCTCTCTGGGTAGCCAAGAGTGGAGCCTGGGAAACACATATTCAGTCCTCAACTGTCTAAGAGCTCATATCATGCCAGCTTTGCTATGCCTTGGCGAAGTGCTGGGACTCCTCCCTTCCCATCCTGATAACAAGAACATATCTGGGGAGCACCATCCTAAGCATAAACTAAAAGGTAATGCAATGCCAAAGTGCATCGTGTAACGTGCTCCGAAGATTTAGAAATTTCTGGCATATCTATTTGGGATTCTCTGAGAAAATGCATCCATTATGAGCTAATAAAACAGTAAAGTCAGAACTTAAATCCACTGGGTAATAGAATGTAATTTACATACCTCTATAGGCAAGGGCTAAAAAGACTATGTACCCACAAGAATTGAAAATAAAAAAAAGTAAAATAAAAAAGCCTTTTACCATTTATCAATGGAGAGACTTAGCAAAACAATAAAATACATGAGCTCTAGCACTAGGCCAAACAGGAACAGAAGGCTCAGTATTCCTAACCCTCTAATGAGACGTTTTTTGTTTTTTTTTTTGAGATGGAGTTTCACTGTTGTTGTCCAAGCTGAAGTACAATGGCGTGCTGTCAGCTAACTGCAACTTCTGCCTCCTGGGTTCAAGAGATTCTTCTGCCTCAGCCTCCAGAATAGCTGGGATTACAGGTGTACGCCACCATACTCCACTAATTTTTTTTTGTATTTTTGTAGAAACGGGGTTTCACCATGTTAGCCAGGCTGGTCTCGAACTCCTGACCTCAGGTGATCTGCCCACCTCGGCCTCCCAAAGTGCTGGGATTATAGAACCCGGCCTGAGTTTTAAAAAAATAATAAAAAGGCCAATCAATTTATTTTGTCAAAGTCACCTGGTAGGCAATCTAAGCAAATACTGAAACCCTTCAACATTCAACTCAAAGCCCTTCCCCTTTTGCCTTCTGCAAACATCAAGGAGCCTACAGTCCTAGTCTCCTTGGTAGGAAGTATCTGTGCATACCTCAGGAACACTCCAGTTGTCTGGAAACTGACAATGTACTCAGCCTCGATCTCCCCAGGAAACACAGCTCTCAATACTTTTGAGGGAAAACAAAGGGAACAGGTCTTGACAAGGACAACTCAAGTGAATACAGGGAAGGTCCCTCCTGCAAGAAGGACACTCCTGAAGAAGTGTCCTGTATTCACTTGAGTTGTCCCTGTCTAGAGTAGTTCAGCTCTGTAATGTCCTTCTTGTAGTGTACAACCACAGCGACACCCCAGGTCTATAGACAAGGTATGCTTTGGTTTCTACATCCGTCTTCAGCAATGCCCATTTTGGGAGAAAACTAACTAACCAACTAAGAAGAGTTCGTCCCCACCAAAAACCCTCTGGGTACTTTGTAAGAGTGGTAGAGTGAGAGATGACCTTGTAACACCAGGAAGCCTGCCATGCACTCGGAGCAGGCCATGATTTGTTCTGCGCTTTCCCTGCAGAGAGGAGGCTTGAAACCTGGCACACTTTACCTTTTGTAGAAATGGAAGCGCTCTGTGAAAAGCAGAAACTGTTTCTCTCCTTGAAGGAAGAAGTGTCTGGCCCTGGAGACACCAGCTTTCTGCGTGTACTCGCAGATGTGGGTAAAATTCAGTTCCTCCTTCTTGAAGTAATTTCGAAGACGCACGAAGTCAAAGTAGGAGGGGATATAGATGAGCGTGTGAGACATGACTGCATCACGGTACTGCGGCAAAATCTTGTTCACAAAAAAGTTAAACCTGATTTGGAATGGCAAAGTGCAAAGTTAACGTTCTACAGCTAAGCTATGGTGTTTCTTAACTGTGTGACCCTGGGAAAATCACAATCTTGTGTGAAAGATTACCTCCCCAGGGGCCAATATGATTTATCTCCTCTCAAAGAGATTATGTAAGGATAAAACCTGATAAGCACACTAAAATATAAGTGTCAACACTATTCATTGTAAAAAACAGATGTAATGCATTATATCCCAGAGAATTATTCTAGGAAGTATACGCCATGCTGTTCATTCATTCATTCATTCCATCAGTCAGTCAGTGAGTCAACAAATAATCACTGAACATCTACCATATACTAAGCCCAACTAAGCTATTTGGGGTTCACTAACTAAACACAATGAAGAAAAAGGGAGAAATTATCTGCACAATTAGAAAAATAGTTCTTTCCCTGAGGGGCTTACAATTAACTTGCTGACATGAGACACTTTGTAGCATAAAACTGTGTAATTTCAAAATGCCACAGTCAAGAGGGAAAGAGTCCCAATTTACAGAAATAAACCTGCCACTAACTATGAGAACTAGGCCACGTCACTACTTCTCTCTGGGCTTCAGTTTCCTCCTCTGACAAATGTCATAATTAAGTTAAATTATCTCATCTGATTCGGTAGACAGTAATCAATAAAAGCAAAATGGAATCAATTTCTAGGATTGCACACCCAAGTCAAATCTCTCTATGTGGTCCCCAGGGGCCTGATGCAAACAGTGAGTTACCTGGCATCAATCACTGAAGCTAGGTTTTCAGCTTCCATCCTCTGGAAGACATGTGGGAGCTGCACCAGGACATGACTGATGGAACCTGTCATTGGGACATTCCTCACAGCCACCTGCCAGTAGTCAATGACAGCACTAGGTGAAGAGCCATCCTCCTTCTGAGCAGATGCTATCCCCTCCTTCTGCCTCAGGACCCAGACAATAAACAGTGCTCATGAAGATACTGAGGAAATAAGACGAGAACCCACCTGGCCTTGCATGTTGACGCAGTACTTGTTGAACACTGAGTTGATCTGGGCATCCTGAAGGGCCCCAAACAGCAGTGTTTGGCGATAGTACTTGGACCAATTATTAAGGCTCCACATCCGCACTCGAGAAAAGTCTACCCCATGTGAATCCAGGGGCAGTAGGTTCATGTGATTCATCAAATGCTTTGAGTGGAAATAATACTACCATTAGTGTTTATTGAGCATTTACATGGTGTACATTGCTAAACATTTTACAAATCTATCAACTCAGTTAACCCCAAAGAGCATGTACTATCATCTCCTAAATTACAAGAAAACTGTGGCTCAGATGGGTGAGTGACTTGCCCATGGTTAGCCAAACATCCCCAAGAAGGAGATAAGCTAAAACTGGCCACCTCCTGGAATTTTCAAAAAGGATCAAAATAGTACCTATAGGAATGTTCCTTTAAAATGAACTTCTGAAATGCCACACTGGTCTCTCTAGGGGCCCAAGTCCCAGACTTGGACAAGAAGGAAAATGGCATGGAAAACAGAGCTGCTGTCCCTTGATGACCTGGTTTTCCAAACATTAGGAATATTCCCAGTATCATCCTACCTGCCTTTTCATCAAATTTAAGAATAAAACTTGACTATGCCAAAATGCCTTTTCCGTTTTAATTATACTTTTACACTGTAACAGATATTGAAGGGTAATGAGTACTATAAATTTAATTCCCATTTTAGAAGTAAGAACTACCCTTCATTTGTCCCAAACTTCCTGCAAGCTTCAGGTCCCGGGGTTGCAGAAGGGGTGAGTTCCCATATGCCTTAGGAAAATAAACCTATAGTTTCTTAATAAGGATTGCTCCAAAGCAGTTTTTCAATCCTGAACTGATAACACAGCAGAATATGTGGAGAAGGAGAAAAACAATTATAGTACAAATTACATTAGGGAGATAAAAACATCCTCTGTTTCTCTACAAAACAAGATCCAACATTAAAAAATCTTGAGCAGTGTTCTCCCATTGTCAGCAGGCCAAACAAAAGAGCATAACCAAAAACCACAAGGGGAATTATGTTAAGTAAAGATGTTCCTGGTGAGGACCCATCCATCCATTCACCCACCCACCCTAAAGCTAGTAGAAAGAAATTTTAAGGGAAAGAAATCTTTTCTGGAGATTTAAAAATAACTAACAGGAATTTTAATCTCTAGATCGTTTAATTATGGACAATTGGCGGGTAGAAAAGGAGACAAAAGACTTTTTCAAATTAGAAAACATGGACTGTGTCCTTGCTTCCAAACAGCTTTAATCTGGACTTAAATAATTCTTCAGGATTTAAACCGCTGAGCATCTTATCCCTCTAAATGTGAATGCTATCCCACTGAATGTGAATGGCCAGCATTACCAGGACATGCTCCCAGTTCTGCATCAGGTAAATGTCAGCTTGATCAATGATGAGAAGCTCGATAGAAGACAGAAAGTCAAAATCTCTCTTCTTCTCTCCTTCTCCACCAATGATGGTCCTCAAGCCCAGAGGGGAAGCAATGAGGATATCTGACGAGTAAAATGGGGCATAGAGCCGGATGCTTCTCTGAAGTATTGCCACTCCTATATAAAACAGCCAAGTACACACCAATTCATTAGTCACTACAAAGCCATTACCCTCCATCCTCTCAAAGCAGCCCACTACTACTTCTATAGCTTTCACATCTCGTATGTTCCCCTTAGCACATAACTGTGTTCAAATGCTTTAATTATTAAAACATAAGAACAAGAGAAATCTTACCTTTATATCTATAGTCCGTTCTACCTACTACTTTCTCTTCCTTTATGTCACTATCAAATTTCTCCAGTTAATAGTCCCTCGTTTCAAATTTCTCCTTCACTTCTCACTCTACTGCAATCTAGCCTCTGATTCTCAGAACTCCAGAGAAATGACTCTTGCTAAGGTCCCGGCAGCCCTCAGTCACCAACAGGATAATGCTTTTGAGAGCTTCTTTATGAGGAATGTACAAATGGCACAGAAAATACAGCTGCCTTGAAATGCTCTCTTCCTTGTTAACCGTTTCCATGACTTCAGTGCTCACTTCTGCTTGTATCACTAACCTGGCCCTTGTCCATCTTTCCAAATACAAGTAACTCTTCTTCCACAAACCGATAGATTCACTTGTCAGCTCTGCTCTCATGCTGCATAAAGCTTTGGGTAAACTGACTCACTGATGACAGCTTTAACATCACTATCACACCAATTTGTATTACTAGCCCAGATCTTTTTCCTGAGCTCTAGAACAATATGCCAACTGCTTGCTGGACAGCTCTATATGTTCCAAACAAAACACCAGCCCTCATCTCCTTATGCCCTGCACTCCACCATACCAAAGCCTGTGCGAACCATAGGGCATTCCAAGCTTAGTCACCCTGATGCCTCTGCAATGGCAGTTTCCTGTCTGAAATGTTTTCCTCCACTCAGCTACCTCCCTTTGAAACTGGCTAAATCTTACACAGATTTCCACCTAGTACAGATGACACCTCTACCACGACATCTTTCCTAACCACCCTGTCCCCATTTTGGGTAAGGGGGATTGCTTTAAATGCTCCAAGAACCACCATTGTATACATATCCTGCACTGCCTGTTCTCTGTCATAGGCTGGATTTCCTTAGCAATGGGAACTATAATTTTTATTTCTACATTTATTTGCATATTCCCAGCTTCTTAACAGTGTCTGGCCCACTGTAGATACTCAATAAGTGTTTGCGAATTAGGATATGTGACTAACAAACATTTTCCCAAGAACTTTACTCTATAAAGGTATAACCAACCAAAGTCAATGGGAGCTGAATGAGAGACAAGCAAAAATGTAAAAATTTGGATGCAAGTCACGTGTGGAGATTATCCAGGGTAGGCATCTACATAGCAGACAGGTGGAAGTCCGCCTTATGTACAGACATTCAGTTTATTCAGCCTCCCCAGAATGACCCCATCAGCCCCTTCACTTCCTAGAGCACCCCTTACAGCATCTGACTATCTGCTACCAGCTATGGGCATGCTTATACACTTCTGTTATACACTTGTTATAAATTCCTGTTATAAATGTATATGTGCCTTTCAAATATGGCCTCAGAGGCCCTCTTTACTCCATTGGCCTAATGTCCACCCCACTAGCCAAGGCAAGACTCTCCCATTGCAAACAACATGTCTCAAAGGCATACTGGTTCTGTTGAGAGGCGGAGTGGGTGATCCACTGGGAAAATGTCTAATTCCAGCTTCTGGTTTCCAGCTATGTTGACCTTCACATATTAGGTCTCAAAGTTGCTAAGAAAGAATTACCAATCCTAAAGTGGTCATCAATGTTGCCCACAAACACGGCTTCATAATCCTCAGGTCTCTTCAAGTTGGGTGGTCTCTCCTCGGGATCTGATCCATATTCTCCCTGAAACCTCTTTTTGTTGCTCACAATGATTTTCTTCTTGCTGTCACCCTCGAGGAGGCTGATGAAGAGCTGCACCACCCGCAAAGCAGCTTCCCGGAACGGCACCACTATCAGCACCTATGCAGAGAGCAACATCAGCCTGAGTAGGGGCAAGAGGAAGGAACTGGAGTTCGAGGTGAACCTGCTAAGGAGCTGGAGCTAAAAAGCTTCAGGTAGAGCAGTGGCTCCCAGCCAGGAACCATACCTACATCACCAGCTTTGCACAGGGCCTGGCTCATAACCCCAGCACCATGGCCTGCTGGCTTCAGACCCATGGCTCCATGTGAGGCATTTCTCAAGCAGAACTTGGAAATACCTTTTACAATAAGCCAATGTCTCTACCAGATATACTTACCAGTAAAAACTCAAGGACATAAACACATGAGCTCTTTGAGGAAGAGAAGTGTTACTCCATTTTTTTGTCTCCCACAGAATCTAGTCTAATATTTTATCCATAAGACCCACTGAATAATATCCACTGCTTTGGAACAAGTAGAGAAGAAATAAAGCAGGTAAGAAAAAGGATTAACACATCATTGCATTTTTAGTGCCTTCTCTAGTACATTCTTTGTTTTCTACGTATATTAAAAAATGTTTAAAGTTACTGTTGAGAATAAAAACAGAAGATGCTTAATAAATAATTTCTAGTTTCCTATTGTAAACAATATAATGGACATAACGCCAGTTAAATCACGTAACTCACCACATTATAATATGCTTCACAGATAATCTGCTTCTAATTCTTCTATGTAATTCTAAATGGAAACAAATAACCTTATAACCCTGATGTTCAAGCCCCAAGGAGTGCAGTGGATTCAGCCTGGTACAGTATAGGTTTAAGAGGACTGGGTTACTGTTCTAGCTGTGACACTAAGTACGTGTCAGGGCTTTGGTTTCCCCCACTATTACACAAGGGAGTTTGACTAAGAAATCTCTAAAAGCCATATTAGTATCAAAATTCTAGAATTCTATTAAACTCAATGAGAAAATTCTAAAAAGATAAGGCTTCTTCAATATGGTGAGATGCAGTTCAGGGCAGGGGTACAAGACCTGGTTCCATAATAACGTAGACAAAATTGAAAATCATTTCCTATTAAGGCCTCAAATCCACTGGAGCTTAGACTTACGAGCACAAACTCATCACTTTAAGCAGTAATAACTTTACAGCGGCAAATGTCAATTTTTGTTTTCAAAGGCTGACGTACGTATGTGGCTTAGTGAAGAGAATCCATGGTTCTTGTCTCATCTCTGCTACTCTGTCCCTGGTTCTCTTTATCAATGTCCTCTTCAAATTTCTACAAATTTGGGGCTGCCCACAGCTATAATATGGTGGGATTGGATAAAAGGCTCATTAAGGTCCTGTCTACTGACAACCACAAAGAAGAGATTTATAATGGACTTTTATTTATATATGCTTTGAGTTTATCTTTAAGGAAAGTGTCATGAAGTGCCTCCTTCTCATAAGTTTGCAGCTATATCCACTGTCAGAAACAGCCCACTAAGCTGCTGTGGGGCTGCTCTGACACTACCTGGTCTACCTAATGTGCTCACATTTGGGCTCATTCATTATGCCAGTCAATTATTAAAATGCCCAAGTTCCTGCTAAGTGTCAGGCACCTCTATGGCAGTGCCTTGCCGCCTCCTTCTTGAGGGCAAAGCCTTCTTGGTGCACTCACCTTGGGCCTTGTTAATCCTTGGTCTCTGAAATCATCATCATCACCCACTCCAAACTTCTGGCTTCGGCGTTTGCTATTGTTGCCCAGCACCTGGGCATTGGCTTTAAGGACATGATTTACCACATGTAGGCAGTACACATGGCGGATCTCTTCCCCGTTCTTCAGGGAGGTCCTTTCTGGGTAGAACAGGTCCCGGTAAGAATTCATAATTAAGAAGAGCTCTTTCTGGAATGGGGTGAATGGACTACTTGATTTTTGGGGACCAGATAGGAACTGGCTGTTGGTCTTAGTCCAGGTGGATTCCAGAGGCTTCTGGAGATGGAGTGACTTTAAGTCAATATCCTTTGGGGGTTTAAATGTTTCCAACTTTTGAAACTTAGAGGAAAAGACAAGCTGACCCAGGATAGGCCACTAGAGGAGAAACAGATCAAGAGCTAAATTAGAAATGAATAGCAGTAAGTTACATTCACATAGTACTATATTTACCACATTTTCATGATATATAGATCATCTCATTTAATCCTCACAACAGCCCTGCAAGGTAGTTACCATGATACTCATGTTATACTTTAGGTTCTGCTGAGGTTCATACAGAAGTCGTATGATACAAAGTTTATACAGAAGAAAATGGAGCTGAGGGCTAGATCCCAAAGTTTCTGACTTCAAATCGGAGATCTTTACCCTGTTAGCTGTCCCACAATGTTCTGTGGAATATATTCTGATAAGAGTCAGAAACAAGGGAGCTCCATGGTCAAATACCCTTGGTAAACATCACAAAACTTAATCCCTCAGAGGGAGATTCACAATATATATTAGATACTAAAGGTGCTGACAAGTTACATGGCAAGAAATCTGTCCATTTTGTTTAAATCCTAAGGAATACTATCTTCCACTTTGTGGTATACAAGTTTAAGAATGTTTCGTTATAGCTAAATTGCTGATCTAAAAATAGGACGACCTCAGCAATAAAAAGAAATGAACTACTGACAGCTGAAATAACTTGGATAAATCTCCAGGGAATTATTCTGAGTGGAAAAAAAATCTCGAAAGGTTACATGTTGTATGAGTCACTTAACATTCCTGAAATCACAAAATTATAGAAACAGAGACAAGATTAGTGGTTACAGGGGTTAGAAATCAGGGTGGGGTGGGGTGCGGTACAGAGGGAGGTGGATATGGTTATAAAAGGGAAACAAAAAATTTTGCTGGAAATGTTCTGCATCTTGATGGCAGGGGTAGATACGGGAACATACGCATGACAAAATTGTATATAACTAAATATAGGCACAGGCACACACAGTTGAACAGGAGTAAAACAACATCTGAATAAGACTGGCAGTTTGTTTCAACATCAATTTCTTGGTTGTGATATTATACTACAGTTGTATAAGATTTTACCATCGAGGAAAACTGGGCAAAGGGTACAAGATGTCTTTGTATGATTTCTTATAATTGCATGTATATCTATAATTATTGCCTCAATAAAAATTTCAATTAAAAAAGGATGACCAACTCTCACGAATGGTATCAGTGGTGACAACAAAGAAGCAAAAACTGCCCAGTATCTGAATAATTTATTTGTGGACCTACCTCAGATATTTCCAACCAATGAACAACAGTAGTACCTACTGTTTTAAGGAACACTGTTTTACTGAACACTAACTGTGTATTAGTCAGTAAACTATTCTATTTTGAGGTAGGCATTATTATTCCTCTCTAGCAGACAAGAATAGTGAATAGCGAGAAAGCAGACTAACTTGGCTTAGGTCAAATGTGACAGCTCCTTGCAGATGCTGGCCTCCAAATCCACTCTTACCTATCATTATATCATCTGGCACCCACACTCCAGCTTCCTGGTGCTTTTTCTAGCTACACCTGTGCCCCAAGCCACCTACCACTGGTGTCTATCATACATTCTGCGAGACCACTAAAACCAAGACCACTGTTTTATTCAGAGCTTTCTCCATTTGGGACCAGGATGACCAAGCGACACTTACTTTAAGTTCATGGGTAGTTTTAGGATTTGTGGCAACAGCCTGAATTTCTTTTTCTTTCAGTTCTTTGTTCACATGTTGAAGAAATGGATCTAATTCAGAAATAAAAAATGTCAGCACACTTAATGCACTGTCGAGGCATTTTCTGGTATTCCCCTGTGAATGACACGTTGATCTTCATTGTATTAACTCATCTTTTTTTAATTGACTTTCCCCAACCTCTAGCTTAACAACTTCTGAAAGGTCCATCTTCCTAAAACATTTCTCTAATTATATTAATTCCCAGCTTGAAAATCTTTGAAGAAACTTCTCAGCCTGAAATTTGGAGCACTTTAGGATATACCTCCAATCTGCATCTCCAGTGTCATTTCTGGACTATATATATGTGTCTCAAATTCTTCTGCCTCTGTGCTTTTCCTTCAACTACAAATTCCAGCCTCTCCTTCACTTCATTTTTGAATATGCAAATATTATCAATTTAATGTTACCCACTGAATCACAATAAATACTTCCCAGGCTTACTGTGTTAGGCACGTTAGCTCCCCTAAAAGGCCATCCCTGGTTCCCTATAGAGTTAACATTTTCTCAAGTCTCCTGACCTGCCCTACCCACCCATTCCAACACATATATATACATGTCTTATCTGGCAGACTGCATGATCTCTAAGAGCAGGTTCCATGTCTGATTGATCTTGCACTGCAAGACCATAGAAATGATCAATACTCAACTGAATTGAACAAATGATCCACACGATAGCATCTGCACTCTGAGTAATCTTTAGTATTCTGAGCTAGCCACCCAACCTTCTCTCCCAGTCCCACTTATAAGAAACAGAACAAAGTTAAATGACCCATTCAAGCATCCAAACAGTAAAACTTCAAATGAAATCCATGTTGTATTAAAATATCTAAGAGTGAACAATAGGAGGTAAGAATTCTAGATGCTAATATAACTGTACAAGCAAGAAAACCAGAGAAATTTTGGGATAGTCAAGCTTCCTAATGTTTCCTCCTAAGTTTCAAAGTTTTAATGGTTCAGAATGGAGTTTATACTAAAATCTACAAATTCTACATGTCACTCCTCCTTCTCCTGTAAAATAACCAACAGAACTAAATGAGGCAAATGAGGATTAAAATTTGTTTCATCAAATGTAAAGTTGGGTTGAAGAATGGCAATGGCATCAACAAAGGCAATCAGGATACGGAACGAGACCAGCCTGACTTGCCCACTCAGGCACTGGCTGAGAAACTGGACCTGACGCGGCAGGAACCCGTCAAAGCCTGCCACAGGCAGGTCTTGTCCAAGTAACTGCCATTTGGTCACAGGAGTGGTCAAGAGTCTGTGGGAGGCAAGAAAGGGTAGGGCTTTTTGGTTTTTGAGGGTCTCCCTGGTAATAAAGACCACTCAGATTAGCCCTCCCTGGGTCTTGCAAATCTGAAAAATTATTGCTCCAAAAAGGAAGAGCAAGTGAGGGGTAGATGAAGTATTTTTCCTCTTTTTCTTTCTCTTTTCCTGCTTGGGGAGAAAGTCAGAACTCTTCCCCTGATCCCAAGAATGAAAAGGTGAGCCCTGGGAGGCTGGCCTTCCCTACCATCATTCTTAAGCTGTTTGTTCTTCTACACATCCCCTCCTACCCCTAAACACTGAGTAACCCTTGAAAAACATAAAGTACCTTTTAGAAATAGTTTTCCCAGGTGTAGATCTAACCACTAAACTGTTCTTATTGCTATTTGTTCCAATAATAGATTCAATGTGTATTAGTACAAATTCCATACTAAGCAACTGGTGAATTCAAATCACACACACTATGCAATGACCTTGTGATGCTTTCGAAGATTTGTCTCCACTTTCCTCTTCTAGAAAGTTGGTTTCCAGGCTAAACAGTGACTCATGTTTTGCATCTGTGAACTCATCGGAGGATGCTTTTGATGTGCCTGGTGGCGCTTCCTCATCTTCTTTTCCCTCAGGGTCCGCAGATAAAGCCACATCTGCTGTTTTGAGAAACATTTTATAAATTATTTACTCACAAATTATACTTCTATTGACAAAATTTATTTCCTCAGGCTATACCAACAATAATGTTCATTGATACTATTTATCTTTAGGCAAATTCAGGTAGAAAAACATAGATTTCAAAATTAAGCCTAATCATCAACACAGATGTGATGTGTGATGGAGGGTTTTATGTATCAATTTGGCTGGGAAACAGTGCCTAGATATCTGGCCAAACATTATTTTGGATGTTTCTGCGAGGATGTTTTTGAATGAGTGTTACATTCATTAATTCATTCATTCACTCATTTATTGAGACAGGTCTGGCTCTGTCGCCCAGGCTGGAGAGCAGTGGCATCATCTTGGCTCACTGAAACCTCCACCTCCTGGGCTCAAGTGATCCTCCAACCTCAGCCTCCTTAGTAGCTGGAAGTACAGGCATGTGCCACCATGCCCTGCTAAGTTTTATATTTCTTTGTAGAAACGGGGTTTTGCTGTGTTGGTTAGGCTAGTCTCAAGCTTCTGAGCTCAATCAGTCTGCCCACCTCAGCCTCCCAAAGTGCTGGATTATAAGCGTGAGCCAGATCTCTTTCTCATATATACACATATCCTATTAGTTCTGTTTCTCTGGAGAACTCTGATTAACATACTCAGTTCCAGTTCTAGGAACTTATTCTAAAATAGTAACTAGACATAGTATGCTAAGATGTACATGAGAAGATGTCCAAAGCAGCGCTGATTATAAGAAATAACTGGGAGAAAAAATGTCTATCAATGGGGTATCATCACATTTTTACAATGGAATACTTTGTAATTAAGAATACTATGTAATATATTCTGTGTGATACATTCTGTATAAGGCCATTATAGAGATACACGTAAATATAAATACACACTTGTACTCACATATAAAATCATAAAAATGTAGCCTTAAAGGTTATATACAATACTAAAGATGTTTATCTCTGGGTAGCAGGCATATAGGGTAACTATATTACCCTCGTAAATGTTTACAGTAAATATATATTATTTTTATAATGATAAAAAATATTTTTATTTTTAAAAATCCAAAAAAGCAAAGAAAAATAGAAACAAAACAAACTCCTAAGCGCAAGTCAATGAATTTTTATTTCAGTAAAACTGATCAGTTAAAATATCTGGAATGATATATAACATCAGAAGGTATAGAAAAAACTAAGGCTGTAAGAAAATTAGGTATTAAAATAGTGAGATGTAAAAATATTCAGACAATGGAATACTACTCCAGAAATCAAAAGTACTAAGCAACTAATACATGTACAATATAAATCAGAAAAACATGAGAAGCGGCCAGGCGCGGTGGCTCAAGCCTGTAATCCCAGCACTTTGGAAGGCCGAGGCAGGTGGATCACGAGGTCAAGAGATCGAGACCATCCTGCTCAACATGGTAAAACCCCGTCTCTCCTAAAAGTACAAAAAAAAATTAGCTGGGCACGGTGGCGCATGCCTGTAATCCTAGCTACTCAGGAGGCTGAGGCAGGAGAATTGCTTGAACCCAGGAGGCAGAGGTTGTGGTGAGCCAAGATCACGCCATTGCACTCCAGCCTGGGTAACAAGAGCGAAACTCCATCTCAAAAAAAAAAAACATGAGAAGCAAAACCAGCCAGACACAAAAGGGTTTACACTATATGATTCAATTTATATGAATTTCTAGAAAAGGTAAAACTCATCTATAGTGACAGAAGGCAGGTCAGTGATTGTCTGATGCCAAGGGTGGGAAACTGATGGCAAAAGGACAGGAAAAATTTTTGGAGGTAATGGAAATGTTCTGTATTTTGATTTTGATGTATACCTTTGTCAAAACCCATCAGACTGTATACTTAAACAGGATACATTTTACTATACGTAAATGATAACTCAATGAAGGTGATTTTAAAGTTAAGTCACCTTGATGTCTGAGCGAGACAATCCCTGAAGCCTTTCCTAATTTACACTGGCAGTGTTCAACTACTCTGCCTCTCTTCAACCCCTTACATCTAGCTGTTGCGTGCAGTCGCAAACCTACTGTTTGAAAATTTTTATATATTTTTATGTCTATCTTCCATCAAACTTGGTCTCCCTCAGGGAAGAACAGTAACCTTTTCAATAAATTCAGACAGACAAGAAGACTGTTCTCCTTTTTCTGTATCAGGAGGTCTTTCACTAGTACTGGTGAAGTCCCTGAAATCACAAACAAAAATGTTATTTCTGCATAGTTGTGCTAAGAAGGTTCTGTGTTTCCATCACATTTGTAAAGATATAATCAAACCCAACAAGGTTAAATCCCTATTTTGGATTTATGTCCTTTCATCCAACTCACACAGTATACAGGATACCATGCCCATTAGGTGAACTGTCTAGAGTTCTGGCAAAGATGATGAGCCTATACCAAAGACACTTACTATCTGGACTTTGAGTAGACTCTGCTGCCATCTCTTCTTCTACACTGAAATCACTACCACCACCTTCATCGTTCATTTCTGCATCATCTATAATACTGTCTTCTTCTTCCTCCTCCTCCTCCTCATCTTCCTCTTCTTCCTCAGAAACATTCTTTAATGTAGCAAGCAGTTTGTGGTAGCCAGAAACTTGTTCTGGTTCACTCTCTGATTCACTTTCAGAATCTGAAGTATCTGAACTCTCTGACTAAAAGGAAAATGAGAATTTTAGCAACAAAAACTATATTGTTATCATTGTTACTCTAAAACTATTATCAAGCCAACATCTATTCAACGAAGCCCAAATTCAAATTTACTTAAAATAGTTAATCTAGTTATGATTCTAGAAGCTCTTCATAGTCTCCAAATTGCTACTGCCCCACATGGGAAGAAAGCTGCCTTTTTTTTTTTTGAGACAAAGTCTCACTCTGTCACCCAGGCTGGAGTTAAATGGTGCAATCTCAGCTCTCTGCAACCTCCACCTCTTGGGTTCAAGCAATTCTCCTGCCTCAGCCTCCTATGTAGCTGGGATTACAGGTGTGAGCCACCACACCTGGCTAAATTTTGCATTTTTAGTAGAGACAGGGTTTCACCATGTTGGTCAGCCTGGTCTTGAACTCCTGACCTCATTATTCACCTGCCTTGGCCTCCCGAAGTGCTGAGATTACAGGCATGAGCCACCGTGCCTGGCCAAAAGCTGACTTTTAAAACATAAAACTTCAGGTTATAATGATATTCAATTTACGTCCTAGGCATTAGGACACAGGTTTAACAGAACAACAGGACAATTACAAAACAACAAAGGGAAACAGTTTTTTTTCTTAGTTTGTTGTAATATGATAGGACCTTTGTTCATTTTGCACTGTATCTGTGACTCCTTTATGCTAAGAAGAAAAGATATTCCCCCTTAGGATCCACTAAGAGTCCTCTGGTAAGCTCTATAACAGGGCCTAACAGGCTAGTCTCCTGGGACAATTTCAAACTGTGGCTTCTGTATTAGATATCACAATGGCCTTTTTATAGACATCTGCATTTAAAACTAAATAATACTGCCAAAATAGTAGCTTGCATCTAAAATCAAAATAGAAATGTAATCAAGCTTTATTGTTAGATATAATCTTAGTGGTAATAAACCAAAACCAACTATTAAAAGGAAGGTATAAAGCATTACCAGTTGACAAATCCGTGGTTTTGCTTCCTTTCTGGATACCCTGAAAAGAAACAGGCAATGTTACACTCTAACTACTAGTATGTACAAATTAGGAAAAAGTCAAATAAGACATTAAATGAAAAGGCAGAATAAACATTATAAATATGTTTTAGATATAGCCATGCAAAAATCACATATGTACTTAGGCAGGGCTTGCAAGAATATGGTTAATAACCGACAAGGGAAAAGTTTAATGAGGTCACGTGACAAACACTACAATCACACAATAACTGGCTCTTATCCTAAAGAAGGATACAACTTGGTTAAAGAAAAGATCTCGGGGTTCATCTTTTTCTAGCAAATTTCTCAATTAGAATGTCCCTCTAGGCTTGGAGTGGTGGCTCATATCTGGAATCCCAGCACTTCAGGAGGCCAAGGTGGGAGAATCACTTGAGCCCAGGACTTTGAGATCGACCTGGGTAACATACTAAGACCCTGTGTCTACAAAAAATAAGAATTAGCTTGGTCTGATTGTGTGCATCTGTAGTCTCAGCTACCGGGAAGGCTGAGGCAGGAGGACTGCTTAGGCCCAGGAGGTGGTGGCTGCAGTGAGCCAGGATTTCAGCACTGCACTCCACCTAACACAAAGTGAAGGTGTTAAAAATAGAAAGAAAGAAAAAAGAAAAGAAAGAAAGAATGTTCCTCTGATGATAAAGCAGCTCAAAGTGGTGGGATGAGCACTGAGATCATAACTGCACCTAGAAATTTCTAGAGAAACCGCAACTACCAATACACTTAATTCCTTATCATAATTGCATAGATCAGTGACAAATTCTTTAAAAACACAGAAAACATAATGTGACTATAACTAACAATTTATCCCATATTTTCAAATGGCTAGAAGAGCGGATTGTTAATGTTCCCAACGCAAATAAATGATGTTTGAGATAAGTATGCTAATTCCCCTGATTTGATCATTACACATTGGGTACATGTATTGGTATCGAAATACCACACTGTATCCCATAAATATATACCATCATTTTATGTAAATTGAAAACAATTATAAACACAGGTCAGGTGCGGTAGTTCATGCCTGTAATCCCAGCACTTTGGAAGGCCGAGGCGGAAGGATCACCTGAGGTCAGGAGTTCGAGACCAGCCTGACCAACATGGTGAAACTACGTGTACTAAAAATACAAAAAATTAGCCGGCGTGGGGGCGGGCACCTGTATCCCAGCTACACGGGAAGCCGAGGCCGGAGAATCGCTTGAGCCTGGAATATGGAGGTTGCAGTAAGCTGAGGTCGCGCCACTGCACTCCAGCATGGGCGACAAAACGAGGCTCCGTCTCAAAAAAAAAAAAAAAAAATTATAGAAACAAAAACCCACAACAAATTACTAGAAGATCTCTGACCACACAAAAATCCGCCCACACAACGGGCGTGTCTCTTAGCATGAAATTATGGGCTAACAAAAAGGCCCAGGAAGCACTCCATCTCCCGGCGGGATGGCTCCACAATCTCCCCGGCCAGGCACTGCGGGAGCCGGGGAAGCCTGGGAAAAGCCCAGAGAAGCACTATCCGGGAGGCGAGAGGAATAAACTCGAGCCTACGACTGCGACGGCTGGGGAACTCCGCCACGCCCCTCCAGACCTGTCATAGAAGGGATGCTCCTCGCCGAAATCTCTAAGATGTTTCTTCTGCTTTTTAGTTAGGGTATTGAGCAGCTGACTCTGACTCCGGCTCCCGCGTTTGCCCATAGCGAAACGTCAAGTTTGCCCACTTGCAGGACTCGCGTTTTTCACCAGGAAGTTACCCAGTCAACACAAGCACGTGGGCTCGCCGACGGCGCTTTACGGCGAAGGCAAAGTGCCATAAAGCAGATCCGCTTTACGTCGCGCTCGTGCGACAGGCTTAGAACGTCCGGTTCCCCATTCTGCCCCCTACCGCGGCTCTTTGAAAGCACGCGCGCTTGTTCCCATTTGTTCTCAGAGCCCCAGAACGTGAGCAGCTGAGGGTAGGTGGGAGCTTCCTGGGTTACGTGGGTCGGGAGGCATGAGCTTTGTGTTTGTGTTTTGGTTATGGAAATAAGTGCGTAAATGTGTAGTAGTGGAGATAGTCGAATGCAGTGACTTTACAGTATACTGCAATAAAAATATTAATCCACATTTAAGGATGCTTCAACATCTCACTTCATCATCACGACAGTGTACAAATAGGTCTTGTTAATAAGCCTGATGTTGCAGATGAGGAAGCTGATGCTTAGAAAGGATAGCACGCTAGCAAGAGAAGAGAGAAAAACCTTAATTGATGCAACCACATGCTTTTACACATTAGGGTCTGCCACTTGCGTGTGTTACATCAAGCATGGGGCCCACAAGTCTGAGATTCCCAGCCTAACCCAACTCTCGCGTTTTCTGTAAGTATTGGAAGAGTCCCCGGAAACAAATCTGTTCTGGCATACCTCATTTAACAACAGCAGAAACACATCTAGAGAGGTAGAGTGACTTTACTGAAATCACCTCCAGTCAATGCTAGAAAAAACTGTAAAACCCAATCCGGTGTCTCATAACTGAACTCGGACAAAAGGGGATGGAAAAGCTTTTGAAGGTAAAGGAACCATCTTATATTTTGATTGTGCTGGTAGTTACACCATGTATACAATAAGGGAAGTTAAACTGTGGTGGGTTGCTGTGGCTCATGCCTATAATCCCAGCATTTTGGGAGGCTGAGGCGGGTGGATCACCTGAGGTCAGGAGTTCGAGACCAGCCTGACCAACATGGTGAAACCCAGTCTCTACTAAAAATACAAAGTTAGCCAGATGTGGTGGTGCACGCCTGCAATCCCAGTTACTCAGGAGGCTGAGGCAGGAGAATTGCTTGAACCTGGAAGACAGAGGTTGAAGTGAGTCGATATCACACTATTGCACTCCAGCCTGGGCACAACAGAGTGAAACCCAGTCTCAAAAAAAAAAAAAAAAAGTAAAACTGTACAGTTAAAGTGAATTTTAATGTATGTAAATAACACTTAAATAAACAGGAAAAAGCAAAAATATAAAAGTAGACTCAGTATTCCAGGGATTTGCAAAGTGTGCAGGGCTGCTTGAGACCACAGGATAAAGATGGTGAGACCCTTTTCCCAGTAGTAACTTATGATACCATGTTCTATAGAAACAGAGTGCTTAAATCATAAGCCACAGAATTTACTTGAGTATTTAAGGTAAAACAGGAGCATCGAACGGCTCTGCTTCTGTGGGAAATTTGGGTTTTCCCCAGTACCATATCCCACTGTAGAAGTTGTAATAAAACTATTAGAATATGATTCGTGTCCGTTCTAGTGACCGTCTACTACTCTTAATTAGATTTGGAGAGGCTGGGGTGGGGAAGGGAGGACAGGGCTAAAGAATATGAGGAACATGTGCAAACAGAGTGGGTGGTGCCCAGCAACTGGGCTAGCCAAGGAACCCATAAATAGCCATTTGTCTACTATCTAATTTCAAGATAAAAAGTACAGTCACGTAGGTCAACAAAAGCGTGTTTGCAAGATGTCATCATACATTTTAAGGTGCTGACCACAGTATAACTTGGCTATAACAATAAAGAGCCATCCTTTTCCCCGTCCCAACATATCCTAAGTGACCTAGTTTCCTTCCCCAGAGGCAACCACTTTCTTGGTGTTCTTCCAGAGATCTTCTATGAAAGCTGTATTCCCAAGTGCTTGAGGTGACTCTTCCTCTCCGGGTTTGCACATCCTTGTGGTCTTGTGTACAGGTCTAGACGGTTCTCAGGTTCAAGCAAAAATGTACCCTAGCCCCACCCAAACAGTCTCATCATTGGCTCACTGGGTTTTGTCCTAAAAATATTTATATTAGCCTTTGACAACATAAAAAGGAATCCTTTGTGAAAATTTAACCTAAGAGCCAAGAATATATGCATTTTTTTATGCCTCCAGTGAAAGTTCTCTTAGTAAAACCTGCACAAAGAAGATGTATATGCCAACAAATGATGGCCTTGGGAAAACTGTCATGAAGACAAAATTTGTTCTTCCTCTTTCTTCTTCCCTCCCTCTGCCCTTTGTTTCCCTCCCACAAGGTTTTCTTTTACCTCTACTCACAGGCACTCCGTATTTTCAGGGTTAAAGGCAGTCCAGGAGATAACCTTCTATATTAATCTACAGATGGCGGTTAATGAATTAACAAGTTACTTTCCTTGGGATATTTGCAATTTCCAGAAGATTCTCTACGATAATGATCTCAAGGAGTGGGAGAGGGATAGCTATCCCTTAGGACAAGAATATCAGAATGTTTAGGAATTAGTTAATAATTTAAAAGAAAAAAATGTTTCATATTGCACATTTCAAGTATATGCAAAAGTAGACAAAATGGAAGAACTCCCATATACCTGTAGCTCAGCTTCAACCAATATCAACTCAAGGCCATCTTGTCTCATTTATACGCCCAACCACTGCCCTGTCCCTACTCTGCATTATTTTTTAAGCAAATCCAGAACATATTATTTCATCTGTAAAGATTTTAGTGTGCATTTCTAAAAGTTAAGGGTTTTTTTAAATGTAGCCTCAATGGCATTATCTCACCTAATAAAAGTGATAACTATTTAATATCATCATATATACTGCCAGTGTTCACAGTTTTGATTGTCTCATAAATGTTGTCTTTTAAAAATTCTTTGTTGGTTTAACATGTTGTGCTCCTCTCTAAATTTTTTTTTCTTTTATTTTTTTATTTTTTTTTTGAGACGGAGTTTTGCTCTTGTTACCCAGGCTGGAGTGCAATGGCATGATCTCAGCTCACCGCAACCTCCGCCTCCTGGGTTCAGGCAATTCTCCTGCCTCAGCCTCCTGAGTAGCTGGGATTACAGGCACACGCCACCATGCCCAGCTAATTTTTTGTATTTTTAGTAGAGACAGGGTTTCACCATGTTGACCAGGATGGTCTCGATCTCTTGACCTTGTGATCCACCTGCCTCAGCCTCCCAAAGTGCTGGGATTACAGGCGTGAGTCAACGTGCCCGGCCTCCTCTCTATATTTCTTACGAGTTGATTGTTGGATCTATGGATAAGCATATAACAAAGTTTGACAGACTTCGTTATAGCTGGTCTGTTATATATAAGAAGACATATGATGTCTGGTTGCCTTTCTTTTTGTGATATTACCGGACTCTGGTGCGCAATATCTAAATTCATTAATTCATGAATACGTTCTAATTCTATCTCAGGGAGTGATACTCTGATTCTGTCATTTACTGTTTACTTACTTGCTGAATTGTTGTGAAGATAAATTTCTAACTTAATTAAATTTTGGTTACCCAGTGATACAGTTTGTATAGGAAAGAATAAATGCTTGATTCTTTCCCTTCATTTGCCAATTTTCAACATAAGAAGTTGATCACTAGATTTAATGGTGGCCAATTAAATTTTGGTTTTCATTTTTAGTATCATTATGAATTCATGGAGTTATACAAATTTATATGTTTTGTTTTGCAAATATTATGATATATAATTTGAAAGAACTTACTTAACATACAGCTATGTATTTAAAGACACAAGTCAGTCACTTTCTAATGTAAAATACAGAAAGTAAGCAGAGGTCTATCTGAGATTTTCAACAGAGCCGGGGGAAGCACTGCTTGAGGATACATCTCAGATGCTGGGGAGTTTGAGATTTAATTTTTTTTCGTGATAACAAGGCCACATGGTTTCAAGATATGTTGAGAGGAAGCCATGTATATCTAAAGGTATGACTCTCTAATAGTGAAAGTCAGACACCTCAGCTTCTGATTTGGGAAGATTCTAGGGAAGGAGTGTGTGTGTGTGTGTGTGTTTTCCTAATAGCTATAATCAGACAGTTTCCTACATACAAGACCAGCTCTTCTACAACATGTATTCACGTATGCTGTGTACACACCTAAAGCAATCCAGCTTTTCCCTGAGAGTGCTGGCAGAAATCAGTCTCTCACTGCCCTTATAAAATTATGGAATTAGCTCACCTATTCATTTTAAAAAATGTATCTAACACTTATCATGTGCCAGGTATGATACTGGCAGCTGAGGCTAGGAGAAAGAATAAGATGATGCCAGTCTCCACAGTTCTGTCTGGGTGTAGATAAGTACACAGACAATTACAATGCACTGTGCCGAATACTGAGCTGAACAATGCCGGATGCTAAGGAATCTGCAAAGACGCATTTACCCAGGCGGGGGGATGCTGCTCTCAGGCTGAGCATGTGTCAGCCAGACACATTCATTGAACACAAGTATTGAACTCAAAATTGATCTAAATTCTAGATCTGAGGCTGTATGAGTTGTGTCTGCTGACCTCATGAATTGTAAGTGTATATGATCAAAACAGGATATGAAGGATATAGGACAACAGGAAATTAGAAAGCCGTGTAGTCATCGGATTCCACAGCATTTACTGTATGTGGAGCCATAAGCTTTCTAGGTGGAGCAGACTTTAGAAATGAGATTATGTCTGTGAAGAGCAAAGCTTTGTGATGGATGCCACATAACATAAAAATAGAAAATATGAATACATATGGCCCCTGCTCTTTCTATTAATCTGTACCTATAAGAAGTATCCACTGTGAAACGACCTGGAATATAGAGAACTTTTATAAATATGTTTCCTCAGGTGTATCAGGGATTAATTTACATTAGGTCTAGCTTAAAATGGGAAATATTTTATATTACTTTAGTTGAGAACAAGCCTAAGATGCTGTTAGAGGGCATCAAGTTTTGCATTGCTCCCTCTAGTGGAATACTGCTAAAACTATGTACTATTTTTCATTTTTTTTTTCTGGCAAGGGCTCATCTGTTCATATATTTATTCATTTTATCAGCATTTTCT